GTATGTGCTTTCTGTATACATCAGTGTGAGAAATACAGAACAAGTAAACTTTATACTTAATTATTTCCTTGGCAATATTTATGTTTTAATCAAAATTAAACCATAAACTAAATTATGAATAAACTCTGTAAATACACTTCCCAAAGACTAAAGTTTACTTAAAACACAGAATGATAAAAGACATATCCATAGGAACATTAAAGAAGTTCAGTGTACAAATCTAAACTGAATCCAAGACACCATTTTTTATGGGAACAAAACAATAATGGGCATGGTTCCTAAAAGAAACAGAGTTTATCCCAATACCAAAATATCTTTCACCTTTTGCCAATTAAAGAAATATTTCTTTATAGTATTTTATTGTGGCCCTTTGGCAACCAGTTTTTGAAGCCTAAACATTCCCTGTCTCCTGACTACTGTAGGTTTTCCCTGAGGTTACTGGAATTCTTATCACTATAAGGACAGTTTTTGGCCCTTTGTTAATAGGCTGGCAGGATTCTGTGAGTCAAACATGTTTGTGCATTAAGGTCCTATGGACATCCAAAGTTGGAGAAGTATTAAGATATACAGCAGTTGGTTAGCAATGTGTGTTAGAAACTAAAGGAACAAGCAGTGCTGAGACAAATAGTTTTTCCTAGCTTGTACTTGCTGGTTGATATCAGAATTGTTGCTCAATCCAACCAGACTATGAAGAGTAAGAAGAGCAGTTACCTAAAAATAAAGACAATTACATCTTGGGATATATTAGGACTTGTTTATCATAATGGCATTGAAGGCTTTGAGGAAGGAAAAGGGAAACATGGAAGGAAGAACCAGAGCCACATAAGGAAAATCAGAGGATTGTGGGATCCCAGACATCAACCCAGTAGAATATGTCCGGGAGAGTGATCATCAGCAATGACCCACACAGTAGAGGGGTCCATTGCTATCGGGGACCTCTGAGAACAATTTTCATGATGTGCTACAGTGAGAAGGAGTCTAGAGTCTGCAAATAGAGACAATGTGAAGTTGATACAGAGCCTGGCCAAGACCCAACACTTGGCCTTCCTGAAATTATCTTGATATATCAGCTTATGTTTGAGTCATTTATCTCTTATTATTAAATAAAATTTATTAAAGTAAAATTAAATGTGCTCAAAAAATGTTCAGGAAATATGACTTGAGCAACCCAAGACTGCCTTTTACACAATCAGTGAAGGAACTGAAGATTTACAAAGCCTTCAGAAAACTGTTATCCTTACCATTACTGAGTTGCAAGCACGAATCACACTTAACTGACATGGAGGGAAGGAATCCATCTCCTGGTTAGTAGACGTGTGAGTCCTGGCACTGCACCACACATGAATGTGTCTACATTGCATTCAGCCTGCAGATTTATCATTTCATGCATTGTATACCAACCACCACTTGACTTTCAGGACAAGTACTTAATTTTAAAAATCTTGCAGATTTGAGAATCACTTTTATTAGATTCTTTTTTCTCACAAGCTGCTTAACCAGTTTTGTTTAGCCACACACAGTTTTGCTCTTCCGCCATCTGACAATTTGATATTAACTTCCTGAACCCATTTTTTTTTTTGTTTTACTCCCTAGTTTGACTTTAGTTTTCATTTTCCTTATTGGTGTTCCATGCTTTTTTTGAAAACTATTATCTCATCCTTTTTATCTCCGCTATCAGTTTCCTACTGGCTTTACTTCCTTCCTATGCAATTTAGGACCCATGGTTCATTACTTAAACTGTCTTGTCCTCTTGTCCCTCCTCTCAAAGGCTGGCTGTATCCAGTCTCCCTAGGCATGATGGAGATTCTGTAGAACTTTTCACAGCCATTTACCCCCAATCCTGACCACACAATCTTTGCAGTCCCTAACTTCAACTGAGCATTTATCACAGCCTTATGTGTATCTCCAGAGTGTGGATTTTTGCCCCAACAGATGTTTTCAAATACTTACATTTTTCTTAATCCACTAATTTAGTATATGTTCAAATTTACATAGTAAAGGCTAATTTTGAATCTTAACACAAAGCAAGCCTTTTAAGGCAGTATATTAAAATCCAGTTTGACTATGGAAATGGTATTGATTTTGAAGACATTTTACAAGTAGAGTTTGTGTACATCATTTTATGAAACATAGTAAATGATGGGATCTCCAAAATGTTTCATTTTCTATGCATAGGTGCACAGAACTTCTCTGCTCTTCAAGCATAGTCGGTGTCTTCTATTTCCCACAGCACTAAAGAAGTGCACGCATTTACTTTGAGAATTTCCTCACAGTTTCGCTAAAAATGTAATCAAAATTACAATGCATGTTTCATTTAGGAGTTTTGGTTGCAAGCAATTGACTAGCTGTGTTTAACAGAAAAGAAACATTAAAAGGAAGCTGGGAAGCACTCCACATTTCAATTTAAAAAAGACAAATGATCCAATTTAAAAATTGGGCAAAGGATCTGAGTAGACATTTCTTCAAGGAGACCATACAAATGGCCAGTAAACCCAGAAAAGAACATCATTTGCCTTTAGGGAAATGCAAATCCAAACCTAAGGAGATGCCACTCAACACCCACAAGAGTGTGAATGAAGGTCCTCATACAGTGCTGTTGACAAACAACTATACTAGAATCTCCTGCATTTCTATAGCAAGTTCTTTGATGCTAAAAAGTTTGAGAATAGTTTTGATTTCCATTCTTGTTTTATCATGTTACCTTCTCTTCTGTAACTTACTCAACAGCCTCAGATTATTTCTCTGACAGGAAAGTCAAGTGAAAGAGCACATAGATTATTTACTGCAAAGCCATCCTGACATGGGGATTCAGATTTTGCCGATGTGGGATTAATCTTTAATGGAATGCTAATATGCCAAACTCTTAAGTAAGTCTAAGGTGACTGAAGAAATGTATCACTGGAGTCAATAATTTCACCTTACTCTAATTTTTAAAACCTTATGAAATAGCGGAAAAAGCAGTTAGCATAATTCCAGTAATTAATGTCAACAGTTCAAATACTTTGGGCTGTCTTCCTGAGCATAATAACATGTTTTAAAACTCACTGTAGATGCGTGAGTTTTGGCTTCTTTCCTTGAGACTTCATTAACATCAGGACTTTCTTCTTAGTTCTCTTTAACTATTTGAGAATGTTAAGCTTTGACAAATACGCCTTTAAAAAAAAAAGTCGCTTTCAAACATTTCTCTTGAATAGAATTCAAGGTTGTCATGCATTCTAACTGCCACATGACCTTGGAAATATTACCAAATGCCTCTGTGCCTTAATTTCTTTATTTGAAAAAGAGGCATTTGTTGATTTTTTTATTAAGCAAATATTTTGTTTTGACAAGATGTTTCAGATTCATTCTGTAACTTGAGTTAACCTACCCTGGAATCAGCTACTTTTCTAAGGATATTAATTTACATTTTAAGCAAAGGAAAGAATCTTGTATTTTATGCCAACTTTCCAAAACGTTATTGATAGGTAAAACTAAGAAAGTTCTTTTAAAATGTTAGAAGAGCTTGAAGACTCATTCATTCTCTCAGTGACTAATTTACTTTGTGTGCTTCTGGTATAAATGACGTTCAGTTGCAGTTCACATTTCCAAAACAAGGTCAAAGTAGTTGATAGGTAAATACTATACATGCTTAGAAATGTGTTAGGAACCTGGGAAATGAATGTAAGAAAATAGCAAGATTTGAATGACTAGAAAGGAGTAGGAAGACCATTGTGTCCCAAGGCACAGCAGGAGCAGGCTGCGGTCTTGTACTAGGAATGTCAAATTAGGGAATTTTGAGGCACTCGACTAATTGCTGGAGATACTAAGTTGGTAATTTCATTAATGATTAGCATCCAGTTTATTGGAAACCTAATCCCAGCTATCCTAAAGTCATACATGAGAATCTGAATTGAGATCCAGATTTCTGATGGATCTGAAATGCATGGCTCTTGGCATTTTGGAATGAGAAATTTAAGAGCATTTGATAGTTTTAATGCAGTTGAAATTCATATCCCCATCCCCTGTTGAAAATGTGAATCTTTTTTTTGTGCATGTGTGCCCATCCTGGGGTTTGAACTCAGGGCCTAGGTGTTGTCCCTGAGCTTTTTTGCTCAAGGCTAGCTCTCTACCACTTGAGCCAAAGTGCCACTTCCAGTTTTTTTTTGAGTAGCTTATTGGAGATAAGAGTCTCATGGACTTTCCTGCCTAGGCTGGTTTTGTACCATGATTCTCAGATCTCAGCCTCCAGAGTAGCTAGGATGAATCATTTTTAATTTCAAATTTGTGATCAACACATCCTTTATGCTGGGAAGTAAAGGTAGGCAGTACGTGAATCCAACTATCTGTGAGACATGAGAATGAATGTTCCTAAAGAGGCATTTTACTATTTTATTAACGTGTGTGAGCATGTGTGTGCATGTGGACACACAATACCAGTACTTAGGCCTGAACTCATTGATACTAGTTGTGGCTCAGATTGCTTGTTCACAGCTGGTACTCTGCCACTTGAACCATATCCCCATTCCAGCTTTTTGCTGGTTTATTGGAGATGTCTCATGGACTTTCCAAATCAGTCTAGCTTCAAACCTCAATCCTCCTGATCTTAGCCTCCTGATCTTAGCTAGGGTTATAGGTATGAGCTACATGCATTTTACTAATTGTTGTATATAAACATACTTTGGTCTTCACCAGACCATCTCTCCTACTTCTTGACTCTAGCAAGAAAACGATCCAGGATTATTATCTCTAGCTACTATCTCTTCAGATTTTCTGAACTGGCTTAAATCCTAAAGTTTACACCTGAGAATTAAACTTCATTCTGCCCATTGGTTTGTTCATTTGTTGATAGCTTACCATGTGGGCTTCACAATTAAAATCTGTAGAAAGGTAACCTAACCATATAATGTGCTGGGAAAGTGCTGGGTGACTGTCATAATTTCTGCTGGGATGGTGTGTGAGAAGGAAAATAAAGTCGGTCCTTTTTGTTGCAAAAGAAGATTTCATGTTATCTGTGTTTGCAGGCTTTCTGGCTCGTATGCTGGAGGAATCCTTGCTGCGGGGGTGTTTTCATTTTCTCGTCTAACATGGCAGTGGTCCATTGCAGCAGAGGTTTTCAGCTTAAACAATCTGTTTGTGGGGCTGCTTATGGCTCTCACTGTACACTTTGAGGAGGCAGCAACTGCAAAGGAGAGATCAAAGGTAACCTATTTTGATCAAAGTGAAATCACTTTTTGTTTTAATTTTTAGACAGACACTGTGTTTCTTTTGAACTTGCTGTAGACACTGTTTATTCTGATCACTGTCAAGGCAATCCAGGCGAGTTGACAGGCAGAATGTCCCCAGTCTTTTTATTGTGAATGGAAGCCTGATAACCCTCATGAAACTTGAGACTTTTCCCTAGGTATAGAAGTGTTTTGGAGAATGAGGGCATTATGAAACCCTCTGGGAGCCCTAAAGGAAAGGTAGGCTGGTTGGTTCATTCACCATCACTTGTTTGTGTGTGTTACCCAGGTAGATGCCTTAAATTGCATATCATTATGTTACCTTGACTGACTCTCTAGCTATAAAATAGTGTAAATGCCTTTAAAAGAAGAGCATCAAATGTAAAGACAAAGTCGTTAAGAAGAAATTGCAATGAACCTAAGGCAAACAGTGTTATCAAAATAATTTGAAGGGCTGGAAATGTGGCTTAGTAGTAGAGTGCTTTTGTCATTAAGAGAAACTTTACCAAGTCCAAACAAATATCAGTTCAACGAAAGCAAAAACCCCATGGAGAAAATAAAACAATTTCTAAATAAAAGATGTTATATTTAATTTAATATGATAAAGAGAATTATTCAACTTTAGTTATAGATTTTACTTGATAAGATTACACAAGACTGTCACTGTCAGGAGTTAACTGGTTGATAAAGGACTTTCTAAGAGTTTGAAGATAGTCATTTAAGTTCATGCTGCAATTCTTTGATGAGTGGAAAATGTTAACAAAAAACAATGGTGATCTGTGCCAGTGCCAGTGTCTCAGGTCTGTAATCCTAGCTACTCAGGAGGCTGAGATCTGAGGATCATGGATTCAAAACCAGCCCAGATAAGAAAGTCTGTAAGACTCATCTCCAGTTAACTACCAAGCTAGAAGTAGAGCTGTGGCTTAGGTGGTAACTTGAGTGAAAAAAGTTAAGGGACAGCACTAAGGTTTTTCAGTTTAATTCCTAGTACCAGCATGCCCATGCTTGTGTGAGTGCCCGCGCGCACACACACACACACACACACACACACACACACACACACACACTAATGGTGATAAATACTAATGATTATTAACGTACAATTACTTGTATCTTACAGGTTTATTTATTTTAACACCATCTATCATACAAGTGTGTGGCTGTTTCATCTTTATGCTTATTTAGAATTTTAGGTGAAGTTTTAATTCAGTTTTTTCTGTGATTTATTTTCAGATAGCAAAAATTGGTGCTTTCTGTTGTGGCCTTAGTTTATGTAACCAACACACAATACTGCTGTATGTTTTGTGTATAATACCTTGGATCCTCTCTCAACTTCTAAAGGAAAAGGTAGGTATTTGATTTTTGTAAAAAATTAAAGTTTATAATATTTCATTTAGTTTCAACTTAACATTTGTGTCATCAGAACACAAATGAGTTTCATGTAAAGTGTAAATAGTCTACGGTTCTAACAGTATTGACAACAAAAGGAGGATTTACAAAATTATGCAATATTGATTATTGTGACATCTGCTCTATTTCATAATTTTCTTTGTGATTCTGGGCCACATCTCAATGAAATAGATAAAAAAAGATTCTGTGCAACAATATATGTCCTTTATAAGTTTTGTTACATGTCCTGAGACCCAGAGTGGTATACCAGTAATACTTCATTCACTGTGTTGTTTGCTTGGCACCATGTACTTGATCCACATGTTAGAGATTCACTCTCAACAGACAATATTGTTGCCAGTGTGAACTCATGAAAGTCTGGTAAATAACTTTTCTGTTAACTTGGAATCTGTTTTCCTAGAATTAAAAAATATTGTTTTTCCTATTGTCTCTATAAGTAAAAAATGTTAATTAAAATGACAATTAAAAAGCAAGATAGGCAAATTGACTTTGTAAGGCATTTGGGAGATTTTGGTAGGCAAAAGAAAGTTGAGTTAGACATGAACTCTTGTAAGGATAAATTCCTTTTATTCTGAGCTTCTTCCTAGAGGGTAAATAGTCAATTTACAAAGATAGTGGGAGGGGGAGGAAGAGATGGGAGGGCAGGGATGGTAAGGAGAACAAAGGAGAAGGCAACAATGCTTGATAAGAAATGTACTCATTTCCTTGCTCATGTAATTATAACCCCTCTGTATGGTATTTTCACAATTAAAAAAACTTATCAATAAAAAAAAGATAGTAGGAGATCATTTTACTTTTTTATTGTTTATTTGTGAACAAACTTAGCTATATTTATTTGTCATTTTACTGTTTGCTAATTGTACCTAGCTATAATCAGAATTATAGTAGAAAACACATAAAACATAATATAGAAATAAGGAAATAGTGATACCAAAGCTTTGGATACTTGTATTTTTTGTACTCTTAAAGTATCTTATTTTTCTTATGGTGACAACAAAGCAAAAAATGGTAATGTGGAGATTTGAACAATTCTTATTCTTTGATTCAAAAATAAATAAAAGAGAAACATTAATTGACAGGAAAGAGCAACTATTTTTTGGAAATGAATTCTGTAATGTCAATCATATAAATCCTTACCTAGCGAACATTAAGTAGCCTATCACCAGGCTGTTCTTAGTAGAGTTTTTTTTTTTTTTTTTGTCGGTCGTGGGGCTTAAAATCTGGGCCTGGGCACTGTCCCTCAGCTCTTCAGCTCAAGACTAGTGCTCTACCACTTGAGCCACAGCACCACTTATGGTTTTCTGGTGGTTAATTGGAGAAAAGAGTCTTGAAAATGTTCCTGCCCAGGCTGGCTTTGAACCTTGGTCCTCAGATCTCAGCCTCCTGAGTAGCTAGGGTTACAGGCGTGAGCCTCTGGCACCGGGCTTTAGTAGAGATTTTATAGAGTGTACTGAAAGTTCTTCATATGATCTTTTATATCATAGGCCCTTGATAAGAAATGAAGACAGGGGCTGGGAAGGTGGCTCAGTGGAAGAGCACTTGCCTTGCATGCCTGAGGCCCTGGGTTCGATTCCTCAGCACCACATAAGCAAAAAGCAAAAAGCCGGAAGTTGCGCTGTGGCTCAAGTGGTAGAGCGCTAGCCTTGAGCTGAAGAGCTGAGGGACAGCGCCCAGGCCCAGAGTTCAGGCCCCACGACCGGACCAAAAAAAAGCAAGAAACGAAGACATATAACTGGGATAGGGCAGAGCATGTCTGTAATCTCAGCGTATGGGAGGATTGTTGAGTTTGAGACCAGTGAAAGGAGGGGAGGGGGCAGAAAAGAAGGAGGAAGAGCGAGAAGAGGAAATCCTCAGCAAGGATTTTTCTGTTGAATCAGTGGGCAGCACAGCTTGATCTGAGTACACATCAGAGAGGCATATTCTCTAGGAAGGACATAAAAAGAAGTATTCTGTGTTAGTTATTGAAGGAAGCCCCACACACTTTGTATGATGTAACTCACAGCTGACAATTTAAGAGCCTGGACTAAAGCTAGTTGCCTAATTTCCCTGTGGGCTTCGGACAAATGGTAGAATTTTGGGAACCATGACTCTTCAATGTACCTCTTTCATTCCTATTATTTAAATAGCAGCGGCTAGAGAATGAGGTCCATCAATGAAGGGCCAGGAGGAGTCCTGAATCAGTTGTTTCAAACCCATTAGAGAAGCTTAAAAAAAAAGTGTGTATGTGTATGTTCACCTAAGTATATACATATATAGTAATGTAGATATCATCTGTTTCTATGTACATACATAGGCAAGAATATGTATTTATGCTTAACTTTGATATCACCACTAAAACAGTCTGGTTTAGTTTTCATCTGAGGTGACACTCAGACATCTGTTTTAAAACAACTCCCTACGGGATCCAGTTGGCAGTTTGCACTAAGAAAGCCCTACCCAGACTAGGAGATCCCTCATGTTGTCATCATTATTTCTCATCCAAAAGGAACATTCTACAGCAACCACATCTTGCCGTTCCAAATTTACCTTTGTACTAGGAAAAGACATTTACTTTCCTTAAGATCACAAACCACTTTTAAGAATAGCAACAGGGGGCTGGGAAGGTGGCTCAGTGGTAGAGCGCTTGCCTTGCATGCATGAGGCCCTGGGTTCAATTCCTCAGCACCACATAAGCAAAAAAGAAAAAAGCCAGAAGTGGTGCTGTGGCTCAAGTGGTAGAGTGCTAGCCTTGAGCTGAAGAGCTGAGGGACAGCGCCCAGGCCCAGAGTTCAGGCCCCATGACCGGACCAAATAAAAGAAAGAATAGCAACAGCCTGTTGTTAAATCTGATACTTCCATATTCTTTTCATGCCAAAGTTTTTATACATCTCATTACTGATCTCAAATGAGATCAGTACTATAATGAAAATACTTTATTTTCAATTAAGAGTGCTTATTTGAAAATGCTAATGTAAGTCAACTGCTGCCTCTACTTCTGGGGAATGTAAGCCTTGGTTCTTATATTCATTTTCACAGGTAAATTTGGTTTCTTTTAAAGGAAAAATTGTAATTTCCAATTATGTGTGTAAGAGATTCCCTTTCCCAGTTATTTAAGCAACTAGTATTTGATTCTGTGTAGTATACTAGAATACACATTCTTTTGGGGCTTAATCGTTATAAGCCTTTGCAATATTGTCCTTTATTTTATAAATGTACATATGAGAGTAACTTGAAGATAAGGAAGGGATTGGGCAAGATGAAGGGAAATCATGGAAGGGGTAACACTGGCCATAATGCATTGTTCACCTGACTTGTGGGACTGAAATTCCTTTGTGTAACTACTTAATAAAATAAAAACAAAGAAAGAAAAGAAATGTCCAGGTAAGAAATATATTCCCCCAAATAAGGCATATGAAGATAACACTGTTATATAAAACAAATTTCCATTAGTATTCCATCGTAGTGTAAGTTCAAAGGGGAAATTCAGTGAGCCTGGAGATTATTTTTTTAAAGCTAGCTTTATTTGCACGAGATATTTTTATGAAATGTCCACAGCCCTTGTAGAAAGATTTATATGGCCATGTATAATTGTAGTAAAGTGTAGAGTTGAAACCTACTCCTAATGAAATGAATTAGTTTTAGGACAGAATTAGAGTGTTCTCAAAATCAGCCAGAAAACACCTAATCACTTCCAAGTGGGTTATCTCAGCTGTGCAATGCTGTATGTCATGACATGGTTTTAAATACAAAAGATGCAATAAACATGATACTCACGAGTCTTTATTTGCTTCACTCAGATTTTACCTGCCAGGGAAAGTAGTTCAGGCGAATGCAATTTTCTGGTAATCCACAGTAATCAGAAGGTTTAACATAGTATTCCGTAGTGCCTTAATATAAATTGAGAGATCAGCTCTGAGCAAACACATTTGGTGCTTCCCTGGATGTATTCTTGAAGTTCTAGGATGATGACTAAAATAAACATCGTTCTGCCACACAATGTGCTCTGATGCAGGAACTGTCTCCGAGCTGTTTGCTGACATTGACTCTGTCCTTCTCTGCTGGTTTGCTACCTTACGTGTACCTCCCTATCTCATCCTACATCAATCATGCCCGCTGGACCTGGGGGGACCAGACGACACTGCGAGGATTTCTGACACATTTTCTCAGGGAAGAATATGGAACATTCAGCCTGGTAAACTTACATAAAGCACTTCTAAGGAGTGAAGAAGCAAAATCCTCAGGGTTCTTCAGGAAGCTTGATTGAAGAAGCAGTCAGTGTTTAGATCAGCTTTTCACTTTAGTTATTTGTATAACTTGTCTCTTGAAGGTGGCCCCTGGCATATGTCTCAAAAAATTCAGAATCACTAGCTCCAACGTCATGAATATATACCTTAGATAGACTCTTGAGGGTATCAGGCATTAAAAGGAGTCTACAATCTGTAATTGAACCTTGTCTGTCTTGTTAGCTTTGGTACGTATGTGGACACTTGACCTAAGAATAAACCTACTTGGATAAACAAAACACAACCTTGAGCTTTTTAAGCCAGTCTTACTGTATAGCTTACATTGGCCTCAGACTCCTGATCTTCCTGCCTAAGCCTCCTGAGCGCTAGAATGACAAATGTGCAACACCCTGCCTGACTTAGCATTTTCTTTCTTCTTTTTTAAAAAACATTTTCTTTTGATGGACAGTGTGTTACTATTTAGTTTATTTATTTATCTATTTTTGTCTTGAGGCTTGAACTCAAAGTCTGGATGCTATCCCTGAGCTCTTTTGCTCATGACTAGCGCTGTACCACTTGAGTGACAGCTCCACTTTCAGACTTTCCTGCCTGGGCTAGCTTTGAACTGCAATCCTCAGATCTCCACCTCTTGACTAGCCAGGGTGACAAGCATGAGCCACCAGCACGTGTTTAGCTTTACAATTGAAGATCTATCTGTAAAAACTGAAAAACCTTGCTTTCCCTAATATCTTGCTTTCCCTATATCTTAAGAGAAACTAAATGAGATTTAGACTAAACCGCAAAAAGAAAGGGAAAGGCAGAGATATTTGTTTTTTATGTAGACTGTTGTTGGGTTCCCTCCACCCCCCCCCCCCCCCCCCCCTCCCCGTACTTTGTGTTTTGGTTAAGGTAAATCTCAGAAGAGTTGATAATATGTAACCATTTTTGTAGAATTCTAAACCTTACAGAACGAAGCAGCAGGATACATGCAAGAACAGTAAAGCTATATATTTCTGAAAAGTGGGGGAATAATGAACCCCAAGTTCAAGGTAGTTATCTTTGAGGCATAAAGAAGCAGAGGCTTACAATGGTTTTGTGAGGTTCTTTTTATTTTTTCTTTTTCTTCTTTGCCAGTCCTGGGACTTGGACTCAGGGCCTGGCTTTGTCCCTGAGCCTCTCTGTGCTAGCACTCTGCTACTTGAGCCACAGAACCACTTCTGGCTTTTTCTGAGTAATTTATTGGAGATGAGTCTCCAGGACTTTCCTGCCTGGGCTGGCTTTGAACTGTGATCCTCAGATCTCAGCCTCCTGAGTAGCTAGGATTATAGGCATGAGCCTATGAAGGTTGTTTTAAGTGAATGGTGAGTTACAGATTAACAAAACAACTCATCCTTTAAATGTATATTGTATATAAATAATATCTACAAGATATTTCATAATAAAACATTAATAAAATGATCATCATTTGGGTATGGAATATTTGATTGAGCATAGAATATTTGGGCATAGAATATGTCTCTAGTTTTCTTATATTGGTTAATACATAGAAATACAGCTTGAAGTAGGACCCTTTTAGATTTAAAAAATCTATCATTATAAAATTATGGGCTATCACATCATAATAACTCTAATCCACCTCCTAAAAAGAACAGTCTATAATAAATGTAAGAAAAAAGCCTAATAATTCATTATTGTGTTAATTATTTCTCCTGGCATAGTTTGATTGACTTAGCCAATTATTTCTAAAATTCTTCCTAAAGGATGTCCAAGATTTCACTGATTTTTAAAACTCCAAAGGCTCTGAAGACTTTATATAAAGAGAGATGTCACAGTTATATTTAAAACTTGTATCTTTTAAATCAAGAACATGAAAATATAATAATCCAGCAAAGCTTCAAATTAATGCTTGTGCAAATAAACTTTTCTCTTTTATGTTTAGGCCAAATCTGAAATAGGATCCAGTATTTCTACAATATTATTGTAAGTATGAAATATTGGGAGTTATTTTAAGTGAATTTTCTCTGAGCTCTCTTTGATGATTTGTAGGGATTTTTCTGAGTCCCTCTCTGCAAAGAAGTATGTCCCAGAAGTAGTTTTCATCTCCATAGTTAATATTGTTTCTAGATCCTGCACATAAAATAGTTAGAAAAATGAGCAGGGCATACAAGAGAAGAAAGATAGGAGTATGAGGGGGGAGGGGAGAGAGAGAGAGAGAGCGCACAAATAAAAAGGGAAGTGTAGCCAGGCACCGGTGGCTCATGCCTGTAATCTTAGCTACTCAGGAGGCTGAGAGCTGAGGATCATGGTTCAAAGCCAGTCCAGGCAGGAAAAGCTGTGAAACTCTTATCTATAATAAACCACCAGAAAACCAGAAGTGGCACCGGCTCAAGTGGTAGAGCACTATCCTTGAGCTGAAGAGCTGAGGGACACTACTCAGGCCCAGAGTTCAAGCCCACCACCAACCAAAAAAAAAAGGGAGGGAAGTGTTTCATGTTAGTTGCATAGAATTGCTCAATGTAGTTTTGTTTTATAAATAAGTTGCTCTTGTTCTAGTTTTTTTTAATATTTAAAACCTACACAGATTAAAACAACTTGAAAAATATGTAGCAAGTTAAAATATCATACCAAATCAATACCAATTATAATGCTTTAGAATTAATTACTTTTGGTGCCAGCCCTGGGGCTTGAACTCGAGGCGTGGGTGCTGTCCCTAAGCTTTTATGCTCAAGACTAATGCTCTACCACTTGAGCCACAGCTCCGCTTCTGGCCTTTTGGTGTTATTTGGACAGAAGAGTATCACAGACTTTCCTGCTGAGGCTAGCTTTGAATTGCAGTCTTCAGATCTCAGCCTCCTGAACTGCTAGGCTTACAGGCATGTGCCAACAATGCCTGGCTAAACAGATTTTTAATAACACTAACACTAACTAACACTGATTGCCAGTTCAAATAACTCGTAGAGCTATTTGAACAAACAACTTTATATATGAAACAGCTCATAGATTTTCCCCTTCTTTCCTTTTCCTTCCCTCCCTCTCTTTTTCTATTTCTCTCTCTCCCTTTCTCTCTCTTTCTCTTTTTCTTTCTCTTTCTTTTTTCTCTTTTTCTCTTTTCTTTGTCAGTACTAGGGCTTGAACTCAGAACCTTGAGCTCTCACACTTTGCTTAGCTTTTTCACTCATGGCTGATGCTCTACCATTTGAGCTTCAATTCTGGATTTTTTTTTCTGGTTAATTGGAGATAAGGGACTCAGATTTGTCTGCTGTGTTTGTCTTCGAACCCCGATTCTCAGATCTCAGCCTCCTGAGTAGCTAGGATTATAGGCATGAGCCACCAGTGCCCAGCTTGTTCGCACAGATTTTATTTAGCTTACTTACTGGCTTGCTTTCTAACATTTGTCCTTTATTATTATTGTTTTATTGAACAACTTTTTTTTTGCTTTAAAAAAGATTATCATTATAGAAAATTTAGAAAACACGAGTAAGGAAAAATTTTTGAACAATCTATAATCAAGAGATAATACTATTATAATAGTCTGTTTACATTTGTTTATATTTTTCTAAGCTCTTCATAGTTTGTTTTTAAAACACTGATTTGTGCCCAACACCTTCAATCGGCACACAGGCTAGCACAAAAAAAAAAGATTCATAATATGCATACTATTTTATTAATCTTGTGGTTTTCCCTTTACACTATTTTGAAAAAATTTTCCTGACTTCAATTATTCTTACATCATCTTTTTTGTCATTCTTACAACTGATTGTGTCTGTATGTCTGTGTGTGCCTGTGTGTGTCTGTGTGCCTTTCCTGGGCCTGAACTTAGTGGCAGGGCACTGTCCCAGAGGAGCTTTTGTGTTCAAAGCTCGTGCTTTTCCTACTGGAGCCACAGCTCTACTTCTTGCTTTGTCATGGTTAATTAGAGATGAGTCTTATGGACTTTCCTGCCTGGGCTGGCTTTGAACCATAATCCTCAGATCTCAGCCTCCTGAATAGCTAGGACTACAGGCGTGAGCCACCGGTGCCTGGCAGATTTTAAGTATTTCTTTGGGTGTCTGTCTCAAACTTTTATGATCCCTTTTTCTTTTGTTGGAGAGGAGCAGCAGAAGCCACATCTTCTTTTAACAATTCATTGTTGGCTTTTGAGTTCACTGTGTCCCTTGGTAGCCCATGTGGAAAGAGTGACTGCTTGTTCTTTTCTACCCACCTCTCCAAGGTCATTGGATCGAGCATTCAGGATTACTGTGATACTTTTTACCCTTAGCAAATCCCACTGGATCCCCAAAGAACTCCCAAGAGTAACCCTAGACTGTATATCCAGCTTGTATTAGTCGCACATAACAGTCATGTACTTAATGTAAGTTAAATAATAGCTGTTGGGTTTTTAGCCAGAAAAAGAAAAAAAAAGACAAGATTAGATGGAAGCCATGCTAGGGAACTCCACCCACATGGTTGGAGGCCTAGCCCTATACTCTCGGCATGATTGTTTCAGGTGGACAGGAATGTTGAGAAAGATGGTTCATAATTAACCTACCAGGAAATCCTTCAACGTGGTGGGGCCCAATCATCTACCCTCTTCCAGTCAAGCAAATTAAATTCTTTACCCATGCATATCTCTAAATTGCAATCCTGTACAAGGAAATTATTGAATCTAACCTTAGGCAGTAACCATATTCTAGAGCTTACATTTAAGCAACAGTTCGCTAAGAATTAATTTTGAGACTGACTCCATTTCTTTTGAAGAAATAGGCCCCATGCCGGAATCAATTTTTCAAGTGTATTTGCAGATGAGTTAGGATAGCTTCTCATGGTAAGATGGGTCTCCATTAGTAAAATACACATTGTATATTTTCCTTAATTATGGCATCACATTTTCTCCAGTAAAATTGCCAGTAGGGAGAAATTTCTTGAGATGGTGTATAAACTTCTTTCTTTATTTAGAAATTTAAAAAAAACTGCTACAGCAGTGACTATATTGCAACTTAGACATTTGAAGTTTTCTTATGAATTCATGGAATTAATTAGTTTAATTGGAGAGAGGAGAATAATTTTCTCTGAGATTGCTTAAACATTTTGCTTTTGTTTTTGTTTTTTGTTTTTTTGGGTCCAGTCGTGGAGCCTGAACTCTGGGCCTGGGCGCTGTCCCTCAGCTCTTCAGCTCAAGGCTAGCACTCTACCACTTGAACCACAGCGCCACTTCCGACTTTTTTCTTTTTGCTTATGTGGTGCTGAGGAATCAAACCCAGGGCCTCATGCATGCAAGGCAAGCGCTCTACCACTGAGCCACCTTCCCAGCCCCTGCTTAAACATTTTGTAAGCCAAAAACTGTAGAGAGGGAAGCTTTCTTAAGGAAGAAGATAATACAGAAAAGAATGATTACAAGTTCCTAGGCCTTTTTCCCCCTTTATGATTGAATCTTTAGAAAATTAATTTAATTTTGTCTTCATTTGTTAACTCATTGGTCACCATATTCACACCACTAACATAAGTTCTTGCAAGCAACTTCTTAGCAGAAAAATCAGGGATGTCCTATACAGTGTACCAAAATAAAAAATGAAAAAATATTGGTCCTGTTACTGTCCTAATTTATATATGTTGATAACCAAATATTATATTTGAAAAACATCTTAGAACTGTGTAATTCTTTCCTTAACTTATTAGATGACAAAATAAAACTCCAATCACAGTCCTTAAAATGGGTCAGTGCAAAATCAGATTTTTTTCTAGAGAGAACATTTTCTTGGGAATTTATCAAGTATGTTTTCAGCTGATAAAGTTTTGATTTTACAGTTCTCAAGTAACCAGTATGAAGACAGAGCTTTCATTCAATATCCAAGCCCTTGCAGTCTGGGCTAATATATGTTCTGTAAAAAAGTGAGTAACACAATTCTTTCTCTTGATGTTTTTTTTTTTTTTCATTTTCATGAATTGAATTAATGGGGTGTGTGGGTGTGTGTGCATGTGTGCTGGTATTCAGGCTTGAACTCAGGGTCTCACACTCTTGCTTGGCTTTTTTACTCTAGGCTGGTGCTCTACCACTTGAGTCACACCTCCACTTCTTTGAATTAATGTTTAAAAGCTTCCCTTCTAGAATGGTGCCAGTATTTATATTCCATTGAGGCAAATATGTATTATTTTCTTGCTATTTTATTCTGTCCTCTGATTATAAATGATTTCAAACATTTGACCAGTTTATGAGAGTTGAGACAGATAAGTCGTTTGATGTCCTAAACCACTGGTGTAAAGCTAATGTTGATTTGCCAAAGAAGCAAACAATTATTTTAATTTTTCTGATGATTAAAAAAGCCTTAAAAGTATAGAATTATTCATTCCCATTTGTTTTCTATTCATTTACTTCCTGATATGTTGTCATAAACATATGTATATGTACCTATACATATATGCATATATACATGTACATATATACATATGTACTTATATATACACATATGCATATATGTATATAAGCATGCATATGTTTATAGTTTTCTTTGCTTAGCATTTAGCATCATGTAGATACCATTCTCCTATAGTAAAAAAAATCCTTAAGATCACTTAAATACTGTATGTTATATTCCATCCATCGATTGACTATAGAAGAGTTATTTATAAATTTGATTGATTGATGGTGCTGAGTATCAAACCCAGGGCCTTGCACATGGTAGGGTAGTGCTTTGTGACTAAGAGACCTCCCTAGCCAGCCCTGGAAAACTCATTCAAAAGGATTAGTAGATTGCTTCTACTTTTCTACTATTGTAAGTGATGCTAATACTAAAGCACTTGTATAGATTACGTTTATTCATGCTTACAGATTTATTTGTACCTGTATGTCAGATAACAGAATCACCTATTATAGTTTAAGGTTCTTGACAGAGATGTGATCTAACTTTTGTCAAACATTATACTAACATACCTTCTCATACTACTAAACTCTTTTTTTTTTTTTAAAAATATTTTTTATTATCTTAAAGTAGTTGTATAAAGGAGTTACTATTTAACAAACATTTTATGAACATAGTGCATTACAACTAAATTCTTAATGCTGTTTTTACATTTTGAAACCCTTGATATATTGTGCATGAAAATAGGCTTCAATTTTTATATATTCTTGACTGCTTCACAAAGTTTATAAAATTATTCATATTTCATGTAAATTTCAACTTTACATCTTTACTACTAAGTTTATAATGCAATTTAATTTTATTATTATGTTTAGTGTCAGTTATTCCAATGAGGATTTTTTTAATTTAAATATTTCTTATTGAAAATGGAAAGCTTCCTAGTTCAGAATATTTCCTAAAGTTTAAGTGTATGTAATATTATGGTATACATACAGGCAACGTTAAACATACTTTTATTGTTTATTTTTAGGGACAGACAGACTCCATCTCTAGTTCGGCTTTTTACTGCAATGTTTTGCATTTATTCATTATTCTTTGCATGGAGGGCAAATCTAGATATTTCAAAACCACTTTTCATGGGTGTGGTAAGTTTTACTTAGATATATCTTTTAACTAGAAAGTTTGTAAAAATTGTTCAAGTGTCTTTCATGAGCCTTGTAGAAAGGCAAATGATTTCAGAATTGTTAAAATTGTAAATATGTTCTTATAAGCCACAAATTAAGTCATTGAGCCATCAAAACTGTGGCCTATTTTTAGAGGAAAAAGGTACATTTATTTTTAGTTAACAGAGTAGCCAATTTGAAAAAAATAAACCTAAGAATTCAGTAGTTGTGTGTGCCTCTGTATGCGTGTGTGCGTGTGCCTCTGTGAGCCTGTGTATCTGTTTGCAAATATGAGTCCAACTGCACTTCACTTGGAATTTTTTTAAGGATTTCTCTCTCTCTCTCTCTCTCTCTCTGTAGATAGATGGATGGATGGATGGATGGTATTAATCCTAATAGGAGAATCTTTATCAACCTGTACCCTTACTTCTTACCTTACCAGTCCCAAAAGAGAACCTATGTTTCTATTTTCCCTGGTAGCCATCTGAAGTTAGGGCTTTTCTCTTATATAATAGAAACTCTAAATGAAGATAGCCCTTTTCCAGCAGTTGAAACCAATTGGTGTTTTTGTTGTTGTTGTTGTTGTTATTGTTGTGTTTTTGGCTATTGTGCTTGAACTCTGGGCCTAGGCACTGTCCCTCAGCGCTTGAGCTCAAGACAAATGCTCTACCACTTGAACCACAGCGCCACTTCTGGTTTTTCTGGTGTTTATTGGAGATAAGAATCTCACAGACTTTGCTGCTTGGGTTGGCTTTGAACCTCGATCCTCAGATCTCAGCCCCCTGAATAGCTAGGATTACAGGCGTGAGCCACCAGCGCCCGGGTCCAGTTGGTGTTTTTTCAAGAACTAAGGAGTCACCCTGAAACTGGAGGATGTGGCACCATGGTGGGCAAAGGGATGTCCTCATGCTGCCTCTAGAGTGGGTAGGCTCACCAGTATTCACCATAGTGCCATGTAAGACTGGCTCCGCCCCAACCACTCCCACCCATGGGTGCCACAGATACAGAGTCTGCCCTGGCCTAGTGCTTCCTGTGGACAGTTGTCTTCCAAGGGAAAGGGAGAGTCTTGAAAAAGAAAAGGAAAGCTGTACAGGCCTAGCCCCAGCTGCCAACCCACAGGAAGAAGTCAGGGAGAGGAAGAGAAGAGAGCTTGCTTTTCTATGTGGATAAAAAGGGGGTAAAGTGAAATCACTTTTCTACTTCCTTCACCCTACTTACTACTGGGGTTCAAGGTGAAGGCTACAGTATTGAGATGAATATGTGGTTCCAAGCTGGGGAGGAATATTTCAAAGCTGGTAAAATAAAGTGACCTGGGGCTAGACTCAGGAGATGAGTTAGGAGGGTCTGAGTAAATTATATATTTGTAAAGTACCCACACACCTGACTGACAGAATCAACTTCTTACCTAAACATACAGCTTGTGTGTCTCCTTCCTAGGTGGAACGATTCTGGATGCAAAGCAATGCTGTGGTGGCCGTCCTTGCTGGCGTTGGTTTGTCTGCACTTGTGTCTGAGACTAATCGAGTGCTGAACAGCAGTGGGCTGCAGCATCTGGAGTGGCTTTCAGCAACTCTGTTTGTAGTTTACCAGCTATATTCTAATTACAGGTAACAGCACGTGGTTATCTTTTGGAAAGTAACTCAAGCCAAAAATATCTGGTCATTTCGATTTTGGAGCTTTATTTTACTTTTCACCTCTGTTGGTTTCTAAGACCTGAAATGAGACAGCTTGGTCTGAATGCCCTGATCACCAGGGCAGTCCAGGCTTAGTAACAGGGGATATCTGCACAAGGCTGGATGTTTCATCTTGTTTTGATTTTTTTTAATTTACCTAGAGAAATAGAGTAGATAACAAGTTTCCTGATGAAAAATAGTTACATCTATATAGTTACATCTATATAGAAGCAGTCATTATGGCACTGATGGCAAAGGCAGGGATTCCTAGATTGTTGATTTTCTTTGTGATACTAACTTAGTGATTCAGCCTCAGGCAGTGTTCCTGGGCTTTGTCAGTTGATGGACCTGATAACTAGAGGAAGTATACTGCCGTTTCTAGTTCTTGCTGCATTATCTCTCTTGTGGTCCTTTTCTCTATTCATAGAAGGTTCTCTATGAATCTGAAGTGAGAAGGTCCACTTTATGATTGAAAGGAACTATTTTGCTATAGTGACAAATAGCAAAAAATGTCTAGAGAGAAGCAAAAACTCAATGAACTGTTCCATGCCTTCCTTCTCATTGGTCTTATTTCCTAGAGACTCCTTGGGAGAAAAGAACATAGGGACCTTGGGCTACAGGAAGATGATGGGAAGGACCGACCTCTGCGTGCAAGAGTCACACAAGTGTCAAATAAATTTGTGTCAGAAACTGACAGATTTCCTTTTGTATTTCCAAAAGTTCCTTTGGAGAAAATAGAATTAATATGAAATTATCTTCAGTTTTCTGTGCAACCAGAAATTGTTAAATGAAGTTGCATTACTTTCTGGGGAAGAAGTAGCGATTCTTGACCCTGAACTGATTCCCTTTGTATAGAAATAATTATAAATTCTAGATGTAAAATAAAGCTATTTTGTTCCTTAACAGTTACCTCCCCTTTTGTTATCAGATGATAGCACTTTTTCATATATATATATATATATGAAATATATATATATATATGAAATATATATATATATATATATATCTTCTCAGAGGATAGCAATTAAAATACTTTGAAATGCTAAATGTAGATTGTGTGATGGGAAAGAAACAGCAGGGGAAAACAAGCTATTTTTAAAACTGTAGCAAAGATTTGCTGTTTTAACTTTTAAAATCTTTTTATTTAGTATTTGTGACCAAAGAACCAACAATGTGATTGATAAATTTGCAAAGAACCTTCTAGACTCTATGCCTCATGATGCAATCATCTTACTCAGAGGAGATTTACCTGGAAATTCTCTTCGTTACATGCATTACTGTGAGGGGCTGAGACCTGATATTTCATTAGTAGACCAAGAAGTAAGTATATGAAAAATACAGTCAGAATATAGCAATCATCCCAAAACATTTTTTTAAATCCTTTTAGCCAGATGATAATACATACCTATAGTTCTAGCTACTGGGGAAGCCAAGGTAGGAGGATCGCGAAAGTCTAAGACTTAAAGATGAACCTGGACAACATAGTGATACTCCAAATAAACACATAAATAAACTTCAAAAACCAGTGATGGATATAATTTTCATGATCTATTGATGGTGAATTTTTTGTTTTGGTTTGGTTTTGCCTTTTTGAGACAGGAGGATCTTTCAATGTAACCTCAAACTCAGAAACTGCCTCGCCTTCCTGCATGCTGGGATTACAAACGTGTAACCACACCTAAGTCATAATCATTCTTAGGTCGAAGGTTTATCACATTCTTTGGCTTATTTCATAGCTCATGGCATAAATTATATGACTTGTCTCTTTCTCATTTAAACTGAATAGTTTTCATTAAAAATTAATATGTTAGCTAGGTACCTAAACTCCTACCTACTCAAGGGGCTGGGATCTGAGGATCACAATTCCAATCCAGCCCCAGCAGGAAAACCCCTGACACTCTTGTCTCCCAATAACCACCGAAACACCAGAAGGTATAGAGCACTAGCCTTGAGCAAAAAAAACAAAAAGTGAGAGACGGTGCCCAGGCCCTAACTTCAAACCCCAGGGCTGGCACAAAAAAAAATTAATATGTTTTGAGGTTGGGAAGGTGGCTCAGTGGTAGAGCGCTTGCCTTGCAAAATGCTTCAGGCCCTGGGTTCCATTCCTCAGCACCACATAAGCAAAAAGAAAAAAGCCAGAAGTGACGCTGTGGCTCAAGTGATAGAGCGCTAGCCTTGAGATGAAGAGCTGAGGGACAGCGCCCAGGCCCAGAGTTCAGGCCCCACGACCAGACCAAAAAAAAAGAATAATGATAAATTCAATCAAGCAGAATATCAGGCAAATACTTGTTTTGATAAATTGTGTTGAATTAAAGAATAATTAGAATTTTGGGTGAAAACTATACAAAACACGTTCAGATGCCTTATGTGAAAATTTTTGCAAACTACACATGTATTAATAAGTTATTCTCATTTATATTTGCACACAAGCTGGTGGATTTTTTTTGGGGGGGGGGGGTCCGGTTGTGGGGCCTGAACTCTGGGCCTGGGTGCTGTCCCTCAGCTCTTCAGCTCAAGGCTAGTGCTCTACCAGTTTTTTTTTTTTTTTTTTTTTTTTTGAGTCCAGTCGTGGGCCTGAACTCTGGGCCTGGGCGCTGTCTCTCAGCTCTTCAGCTCGAGGCTAGCGCTCTACCACTTGAGCCACATGCCACTTCTGGCTTTTTGCTTTTTGCTTATGTGGTGCTGAGGAATTGAACCCAGGGCCTCAGGCATGCAAGGCAAGCACTCTACCACTGAGCCACCTTCCCAGCCCCAAGTTGGTAGATTTTTATCTTCAGTCTAATTTCTGGCAAAAGCTAGCTTATTTATTGGTACGTGCTATTGTACTATATTTTGGGGGGGGGGGGGGGCTTGAACTCAAGGTCTGGTGCTTTCGCTTGTGCTGATCACTTGGGCTATGTGCCCACTTCAGGTTTTTTGCTGGTTAATTAGAGAATTTCACAGGCTTTTCTTCCTGGGCTGATTTAAACCATGATTCTCAGATCTCAGCCTCTAGAGTAGCTAGGGTTACAGGCATAAGCCATTGGCACCCAGCCAAACAAAAGGATTTTTTAACTTTGAGGCTTAGGTTACGACATGATTGTACTTATGAAGGGCAGAATTATAACTAACTTATTATAGGTTCTTTGGAAGAAATGCATTGAAAGAGTGTAGATATGTTACATGTCTGTGTTTTATCTAGGTTGTCTAGTTTGGCCATCAGAGAAATTTTAGCCAGGTGCTGTAGGCCTAGAGTTCTACTGGAGGAATGTTCAGAGTGTTAGAGTAACATACCATGGAGCTGAAGAGACTGGAAGTGTCTGACTTCCAGTGATGCTGTTCTGAAAGCCAAGTGCACATTCCCCAAGAATAAGAATGGGGAATTCATCTGGACTGTAGGTCAAATGCATGAGGCTAAATGAAGTTTGGTATTAATGTCATGGATGATAGACTTCTTAACACATAGGTTCCAAGGTGTAACTCACTTTTTTTTTTTCTTTTCTTTTTTTTGTCAGTTGTGGGCCTGAACTCTAGGCCTGGACACTGTCCCTCGGCTCTTCAGCTCAAGGCTAGCGCTCTACCACTTGAGCTATGGTACCACTTCTGGCTTTTTCTGCTTATGTGGTGCTGAGGAATCGAACTCAGGGCTTTGTGCATGCAAGGCAAGCACTGACCACTGAACAACCTTCCCAGCCCATAACTCACTCTTAAAAGAGTACCCCTATGATTAATTCCTCACTTGTTTAAATGTATTTTTCATCCATTTAATGAGTTGTTTACACTTTTCCTAGTATTTGATTAGCTTGATTCTTTCAGGCAATACACTAAAAGTATGGCCTTCTGTGATTTTTCTGCAGATGATGACTTATGAGTGGTATTTACCCAAGATGGCAAGGCATTTACCAGGAGTCCACTTTCCTGGAGACCGGTGGAATCCTGTGGAAGGAGTATTACCCAGTGGAATGGTCACATTTAATCTTCATCACTTTCTTGAAATAAATAAACAGTAAGCATTCTTTTCATATAATAGCTTTTCTAAAATCTTAAGCTTTTCTAAAATTGTTTCTGTAGCAGCTGTGCCTCATCCAAAAGACCAATTTTCTACACCTATTTCCCTGTCACCGGTGAGATTATCTTTGTAATTAAATTGAATATCTGTGCATAAATGAGGCCAGGCAGAAATAAATGTTATTGTTCTGGGTAAAGGAAAAATAAAGACAGATTAGCAAGAACAGCAAATAAGATCTTAGCACAACTCTGAGAAATTGGAGATGTGCCTGCCTACTTGAAATCATGGCAGGTGGATCGCAAGCAATTACAGTTTCCTCCTGATCAACACCGTAGACCCCTTTTAAGTGCAAAACAATTTTTTTCCAGGAATAATCACTATATAAAAATAGCTTAAGGATTTTTATAGAGGATAAGACATTTTTATAAATAAGAAAAACGCCTACAGTTTATGCTAGCTGAGAATAAAATAAGAGAATTGTGAATTCTATAGTTGAGAACATAAAATTATTTTGTAGTTAAGGTCAAGAATAAATAACTCCTTCAATGGTATAGTGTTGAACATTTCTCCCGTCCATGAAATGCTTGGGTTCATCTAGAGCTTACAGAAGAAAATCTTATTTCATGATTTTTTTTTCTTGTAAAGACTTGGAAAAAAAAATTCCAAAGTTTTCAGTGACAGATATTTTCAATGGCTCATGAAATAATATAAGTTCACCCTCTAAAATATATTCCTTTAACCACTTCCCTCCTGTTACATAAAAGTAAATTTTTCCTGCAGTTTTTATCATATATCTTGGTACAAGTTTTTGTTTTTTCTGCTGATTGTTGTGCAATTACCATTTACACACATAGCTTTTCACAGTCTGTTTTGGGTTAATATTTATCATTTCAAGTGCCATGTAGAACCCTTATCTCTCGTTTCCAATTTTCATGCACATATTAAAGAATTTACAAGAAAAACTATTCAATAATATTTATCCAGGTATTTTCCTGGTCTGTGGCTGTTCCTTCAGCCCTAATATCCCAACTCCCCTCTGATGTCATCCCCCTCTTCGGAAGATATTCTGTTAGCGTTCCTACTAGAGCATGACTCTTATCAGTGGGTTCTCTTTAATCCTCCCATTATCTGGAAATGATTTTATCTCACCTTTATTTCTTAAGGTTTGCAGATGTAGAATTCTGGGTTGATGATTATTTTCCCCAGGAATTAAAAAATGTGATTTTTTTTTTTAAAGACACTTTTGACTTGTGTGTTTTCTGATGAGAAATCCACCTTCATTCAAGTTATTGATTGTACTATAAGTTGAAATGTGACAGCTTTCCCTGGCTACCTTCAAGGTTTTTTGTTTTTAGTTGTCAGCAGTTTGATTATGATGAGTCCGGGCATGGGATTGATGTTCTTTTTAGCTTAATAACCTGTTTTGGGTTTGCCGAGTTCCTTAAATTGTCTTTTGTAAAATGGAGACTGCCAGGTTGTCCTAAGACTACTTTTTTTTTTTTGGTCAGTCATGGGGCTTGAACTCGGCCTAGGCACTATTCCACAGCTCTTCAGCTCAAGGCTAGCACTCTACCACTTGAGCCACTGCGCCACTCTGGTTTTCTGAGTGGTTTACTGGAGATAAGAGTCTCATGGATGTTCCTGCCCGAGCTGGCTTTGAGCTGCCATCCTCAGATCTCAGCCTCGTGAGTAGCTAGGATTACAGGCATGAGCCACCAGTGCCCAGCTAAGACTACCTTCTTTTAATTATGGTTCCAATGTCTTTTCTATCTTCTAAACATTTGTAGTCATAGTTCTATGAATCCCACGTGCACTGTCGCATGTATGGTCCAGGACCTGGGTGGTCATCTGTTCTGTCATCAATTTTGTAAATCCCATTCAGAATCAGATCTGTTGACAGTTTGGGCTAACAGCTCAGCAGTATGTCAGCAGTTCATATCCAGTCTCGGTTCTGGTCACCTTAGTACTTTCCAGCTCCCTAGGCCTTTCATTCACACTTAAGCTGGGGTGTTTTGTTTTGTTTTGTTCTGCTGTGTGTGTGTGTGTGTGTGTGTGTGTGTGTGTGCGAGCGCGTGCGAGCGCATGTGCATGCACTTGCACATGCTACTACTGCTGCTGGGTTTTGAACTCAGGATCTTCTGCTCTCACTGGGGATATTTTGCTCAAGGCTGGTACTCTACCACTGGAACCAGCTTTTTCCTGGTTAACTGCCCAGGCTGGCTTGGAACTGTGAACTGCCTTCTGAGCAGCTGAGAATATAGACATGAGCCATTGGCTATTTCTATTTTTACCTATAAGATAAAAAGAGATATGGAAGGCCACATGTTAGGCAGTAGCAGAGCAGTTTTCATAGTAATAAGGCTTGATCCCAGCTCTTTGAAGAGCTGACCCCTACTCTTCCCCCTACCTTTAGTCTTCCTATTCCCCTCACCCAAACAATCTCTTCTTTGCTATCTGGAGGCACTGGAACTCATTATGCAAACCAAACTTCTGATACATTGACTTTTTTAATTTGATCACTATCAGTACTTCAATATCTAGCAGATTTGAATGGTCTTATAAGATTATAAAACAAAATGTGGGAAGATGTGTCTCCTTACTACCGCCCTCATAAGCAATAGTTTTACACTAAGATTACTTGGGAAAGATTTAATAAACCAAAATGTTCATAAGTGGTTTATTGGTAACTAAAGTTTAAGAAGTCATAAAGGAACTTTCTAACTTAAAACTTTGAGTTTTAACTTAGAAGCACGCCATGTATTTTATCTCTTTGATAGAAAAGAAACATTTGCTTGCATTGGAATCCATGAAGGTGACCCGACCTGGAGAAAGAACTATTCACTTTGGCCTTGGGGCTCTTGTGACAAATTAGTTCCTTCAGAGATTGTATTCAACCCTGAGAAATGGATTACACTAACAAGAAACCTTTATAATTGGACTGAAGAATATGGAAGGTATAAACAGTTACATTTTTAAGTAGAAGATAACAGCTGTATTTGCCTAAAAATGATTATATTTTGAGATGCTATAGTGAGACCTTGTCTCAAAAACAAAACAACAGAATCCTATGAACAGAAGCTATAAAGGTCAATATAATGGAATATACCACATTGTGTAACAGGCCAGAACCAGGTAACCAGGCATACATCAAAGCACTCTGCCTCCATCCACAAAGAAAAGAGAAAATAACACATCTTGGATGTGTCGTTCAAATGGGAGAGTGGAAAAAGCCAAGTGAGAGCTCAAAACCCTGAATTTAAGCCCCAGTACTGGCACAAAAAAAGGAAAGGGAAGGGAAAGGAAGGGAAGGGGCAAGGAGGAAAGAAGGAAAAGAAAAGAAAGGACAGGAAGAAGGAAGGGAGGAAGGAAAGAATGAATGAAAGGAAAAGGAAGGAATAGAGAAAGAAAGGAAAAGAAAGATCTTCAGACAGCTGATGAGTAGTATGTATGTACAGTATTACTTATTATCTTCATTCTATTAAAATAGATATGTAATTGTAAATTTTCAATTAAGAAAAAACAACAAATGGTGTGATCAGTGTCTTCAAGCAGCATCAGAGCTCCAGCAAGTTTCTCAAAGCCAAGGGGGAGGAGGGCTTCTGGACACTTTCTCTGCATTTCATTTTTTTTTAGACATTATTAATTATTTGCTGCCCATAAAGTATCATCATTGCTTATACCTTTCTTCACCACCTAGCTTCCACCTAACAGCTCTTTGAAGAGCTGACCCCTACTCTTCCCCCTACCTCTAGTCTTCCTATTCCCCTCACCCAAACAATCTCTTCTTTGCTATCTGGAGGCACTGGAACTCATTATGCAAACCAAACTTCTGATACATTGACTTTTTTAATTTGATCACTATCAGTACTTCAATATCTAGCAGATTTGAATGGTCTTATAAGATTATAAAACAAACATTTGTCTATATCAATAAATGTAACACAGAAAAATGCTATTTTTCTTGAAACTGAAGGTTTGATCCATCTTCTTGGGAATCTGTGGCCAATGAAGAAATGTGGCAAGCCAGGTAACCAATATTCATTTTGGTCTTTGCAGTCCATTTGTATTACTTTTGCAGCACTGGAGATGATCCTAGGCCCTCATGCTTCCTACACAAGTACTCTACCGCTTGAGTCATGCCCCCAGCTCTGCAGTCTGGTTTTTAATATGGTGGACAAGTAGCCTAAGGCACTTTTCACTTGGGACCCAGAGATGTGTTAATAAAAATAAGTTATGAACAATTATTTGGCTTGAGGCATTGTACTAATCAACCTACAAAGAAGCTTTCTTAAACCTACTTTATTTAAAAAACAAACAAACAAAAAACTAGATATACAGAGAGTTTCCAAGGCTACTCAGCTACAAGTGATAGAATCCAGATCTCACATCTGACTCTGAGACATCTTAACAACTATATTCCTACTTTAGCTAAAAACTAACGTGAGTCAGATCTGTTGAATGTAATTTGTTTATTTCAACCTTTCCTTCCTTTGTAATGTGTCTGTGGGTTATGAAAGCCCTCAGTTAATGCTTACTAGAGGCCAGCACTACACCAGCCTTCAGAGCTACATACATGAATACAACACAGTCCCTACACTCATAGAGCTCTCAGTCTGATAGAACACACTGATAGAGCTGCAGAAATTTGACATCTACATGGTAGGTGTTTTACTCTCTTGTTCAGGGAGAGAAGTTATACTTCCCATATAACGTATTTAAGATATTATTGTTGATATTATTGTTTTTTATCAAATATATTTTATTTTAAATTTTTTATTATTATAAAGGAGATGCACAGAGAGATTAAAGCTACCTAAGTCAGGTAAATAGTACACATCTTTTCCCTTCCAGCCCTACCCACAAGTTGTATAATTCATTTTCAACATAGTATCCAGTGAGTGCCACTGCTGCATTTGCTCACCCTTTGTGCCTCCATTTCTGTGCCTCCCCTTCTACTCCCAAAGACAGATAAACAAACCCTGGTATTTTTTTTTTAAATAATCAAAACAACCAACACTAGCAGTCTTGGGCCTAAAGATTCTAAGTAATGCTGACAGAGGTATTAATATATATGGAATGCTTCTTTCTGTACCATGAATTGTATACCATTAATTGAGTTATGATAAAGGCTTACATATTTTAAGTAGGTTTATAATGATTTGTCAAGCTATACAACTCCAGCATAAAGATTACAAAAACAGATCCATGTTACTAGTTTTTGAACAGCCAGAAAATGGCATTCTGAAGTTGCTAGTCTAACCATAGGGACAAATACTTGCCTTGAAGACCTGATCAAAGATGCCTGCATAGTTCTTCATTGTGACTGAATGCAGGAAAGCTGGGGGAAATCACATAAAAGAAGAAAATAGGCCATTATTCATGCAGGTATTGGTTTAATTGATGTGCTGAATACAATGTGAATGGGTTCATTTGGTCAGTGAGTCCAGTTATCTTTGGAGCACTGGCCCCACGTGGCAGGAGTGCCTGTGATGGTCTTCAGGGATATACTGGCAAAGGCCGCACGTCTTCCCCTCCCAGCTGCTCTGGCATGACAGTGGTGAACATCTGGAGTAGACCAGTCATGACAGCCATGAGGAACGGACACTTTTTCCTGAAGATTTGGTATTAAATGTATCTTGGGGATAGTATCTTGGTTCTAAGTAAACTTACATAAGTGTGGGAAAATTAAAAATCATACAATAGGAGGTCTTAGGAGAGTCAAGTGGTAGCATGCATGTTTGCCTAGCAAGTACAAGCCCCAAGTTCAAACCAAGAACAAAAGCAAAAATAAAGTGTGTTGGGGCAGGGATGGAATTATATATATCATACCAGTTGAAAGCATGGAGATTTGGCCCTGAATGAAAACTTGATGTTGTGATTTTAATGAAGATTCCCCTCTCCTACCCACAGGATGAAAACCCCATTCTTCCTCTTTAGCCTGGCAGAAACCACAGATATGCCGTCCAGGGTGAAAGGTCGACTCTACACTCATGCATATAACGTATGTGACTCTGGTAGACAGAGGGATATTTGGAGGAAAGGCAGTAGTGGCTGGAGTGTTTTTTGTTTTGTTTCCAGCTTATTGTGGGCATTGTATCTGTGGGCTAATGCTCAATTGTATCACCGTGTATGAAGTGGATAATTGGTAGACACACAAAGTATCTGTCTTTACTGGTATGTTACCATCCATGGTAAAGGAGACTGTGGCTGTGAGTAAGTTCGAGGTCCTGCTATGAGAGCTTATCCTGGATTACCGAGGTGGGGCTGATGTGATCACAAGGAGAGTTATAGAAGGCAGTTAGAGCCAGGATGCTGGTGGCTCACGCCTGTAATACTAGATACTCAGGGGGCTGAGAGCTGAGGATCGCTGTTCAAAGCCAGCTTGGGCAGGAAAGTCCATGAGACTCTTATCCCCAATTAACCACTAGAAAACCAGAAGTGGTGCTGTGGCTCAAGTGGTAGAATGCTAGCCTTGAGTTGAAAAGCTGAGGGGGACAGTGCCTAGTCCCAGAGTTCAGGCCCTACAACTGACAAAAAAAAAAAAAATGTGAGCTTAAAACTTAAAAGATTAGTTCTCATGGACTGAGGTTGTAGCTCAAGTAGTAGAGTGCCTTCCTAGCCAAGCATGGAACCCTGAGTTCAAACCCTAGTAGCTCAAAAAAAAAAAAAAAAATTAGCTTGCATATCTCAGTCATAGCAAATCCTGTTCATCTCTATATAGGGTTATAATCCTGTGAAAACCAGGCATCATTTTTTAAATAATTTTTATTGAGATTAAGTGATTACATAAATTTCACAGTATTGTGAGATAGTGAAACTTAAAGTCACAAACATATTTTAAACTTCACAAGGCAAATTGTCATTATCACGCTCTAAAATGTTTGTGAATTCGATGAGCTTTCGCAGTAGAACAGTTTCTCCCACATCGGGTGATATGTCCATTCCTTTCCTTTTGCTGTGTGTAAGCTGTTCCTTCTCTCCCTCTCCTTCCCTCCCTTCCACTGCTGCCCTTGAGTTGCTTAGTTCGTTTTCATCAATATCCAGTCCAGGCAATATTTTTGTGGTGAAATCAGAGACCTCCAGATAGTTCCTGTTCTCACTGGATAGTTCCTCTTCTCACTGGTGATGTCTGCGGGAGTCAGTTGTCAAGCTGCTGCTGAAGCTTATCTGTGGATTCCTTGTCACAGCAGACTTTATGCTTTTCAGCAAATGCAAGGGATAGCTATGGTTATGGCTCCAGGTATACAGTAACATTTATGAAACAACACTTATAAGACAACACAGTCCACCCCTAGTACTAGGTCTTCAAGAATATTCTTGTGAAGTGTAAAGAATATTTGTGATTATATACTTCCTTACTTGGTAGCTTCTTCATTTAGGTGATAGTAAGTACAGAAGTAGTAAGAGAACAAGGAGTACCCAGCTCCCATAGGAATAAATTAAAGATGTCCCCAGTGGACTGACAGTTCTCCACGGAGATTAATGTCAGAGGAATGTACAGGAAAGAAAGTATAATTCCACATAGTGAGAAATTATTGGTTACTTAATGCTCAGCACATTTGATTCAGTCATCCAATTACCTCAATTACAGAACACTCTAGAAAGGTGGTGTGATTGTTCCAAAGAATTGTAGATAGGTCATATGGAGCCTCGGATGCTACGCAGCAGGTGGGGAAACAAAAATTCCTTGAAAAGCTGTCTGTATTTTGGACCCCAAACCCTTATGGATGTGAAAAACAGTTTATTGAGCGGCTACTTAGTGTCAGTAGCTTGCTATACCTTTACCCACATTCTTCCTTGGAGAGAAGCTGGGGAAGAGGAGCAACTGAGAAAAAGAGAGATTAAGAACAAAGGGTAGAGAAACAGATTAAAAGGGAAGAGGCTGACTTATTAGCTTTGATGTACATGAAACTGCTTCTTGTGACCCTTTACTCTTCCATACAAGAAAAGGAAAACAGCTTACACTAAGCAAAAAGAAAGAAATGTAAATATCACCTGATGTGAAGAAATAATTGTATTGTCAAAGCTCATAGAATTCACAAACTTTATAGACCATGATAATGACAGTTTGCCTTATGAAGGTTAAAATGTGTTTATGACTTTAACTAAGTAACGCTATTCCACAATACTGAGAAATATGTGAAATTTATGTAATCACTTAATCTCAATTTTAAAAAATACAAAGTTTGGAATATTCTAAAACAATGAGATTCACCATAAAACACTCCAAAATTAACATTTTTTTAAAAAGGAACTAAGAGAGAGGTTGCTGTAAAAGGCAAATTGAAGCCTGGGACTTACTAAATATCAAAATGATATTGTGGATTGTGGAATTTGAGATGTGCATTTGTCTTGCTCTGGAATAGAAGTAGAGACAGTAATATAATTGGTCCCTTTCAACTAAATGATACTGTGGATGCAATTTTAATAAAAAAAAAAAATAGATAAATGCTTGTTCCATAGAAAGCATCATTGCTATTTTGTGCTCAGAGTCTACTGGAAAACTGGGAATCCAGCTCTGGTGTGGTGGTCCCCAAGAAGGCTGGCTGTGACATTTACAAAGAAGCAAGCATAACACTCCATTTTTCAGATTTGTGTCTGCATTTTTTATGTTAAACTTTAATGTGCTTTTCTCTGGAAATGTCAATATCAAATGCTAACAATTAGCACTGTGCCTGATGTTGAAAAATCAGATTTCTGAATTCTTGTGGACGAAGTTTTAACTATCAAGGTCATAAACTATAAGCTACCGTGAAGATTTTTAGATGTCTCACTCGAAGGCTGTCTCTGAAATTCTCCTTTATGACCATTACAATAATGGAATTGTTTGGATCATTTTTATTGTTGCTAATTATTAATGTTTTTAATGTGGAGAGAAATTCACATAAATAATGTGGAGCAAAACTTCTAAATTCCTTCCAGTTCTTTTTTCCATGCAGTCTGCTAAAGAAAGCTATTTTTTCTCCAGCAGCTAAATTTAGAGTTTCAACCTCTCTGCCTGTTGAGTAAATAGCTTTCCACCAGTTAGCACTAAATCCTTTCCCAGAAGATCTTTCTGGAGGAAGAGCATTTTGTCCTAACACATGTGTCTCGGGTTCCCCCCTCAACATCTGAAAACCCCAGAAGCAGTTTGAGATGAAGCATATTTGCCTCCTGCTACTGTAATAATTACAGTAACATCCTTGCATTTTCTGCATGGCCTAGCAACAATTAGATTTTTACTGTAGGCTGCTTAGATTTTTTTTCCCCCCTTGTGTTATTAATTCCTCTGTGTTTTCTGTTTTTGAGGGGAAAAAAGAGACAAAGAACAACAATGGAATAGCAACATTTTTGCTGTTTTCCAGTTGTATAAGGAGATTGTCAATTTACAAAAGGAGCACCCAGTGAATTGGCACAAGAACTATGCCATCGCCTGTGAGCGGATGCTGCGTCTTCAGGAGAGAGACACAGACCTGGAAGTCCTGTTGTCTGCAACCATCAAACATTTTCGTCTCTATACTCAAAAAGCACAAAATGATCCCCAGCTAGCTGATATTTCAGTTGCTCTCAATCACCTAAGAAAAGAACTGCAAAGCCTGAGAAACAGGAAAAAGGCCTGACCCAGCAAGAAGTGAAAAACTGCTTGTCATTTTGCTTCCAAAATTCTGAAGTCCAAAAGTTTTTCCTCCAAGCAAAAACAAAAACAAACAAAACAAAAAGCTAGCAGCACTGCATGAGGATGCTCCACCTGAGATGTACTATGTATGCAAATTCTGTTTATTCTGTGTTCCCAAATTAGCATTTCCACAGAGGCTTTCAGAAACATCCTTCCACACTCACTCACCAAATGACTAGGTCCATACTAGGTTCTACATGACTAGTTTTCCTATACTGAAACTATTAATCATAAGTCTTTTAAGGGCTGTGCTTATTAGGATCAGTTTTAAAAGTTAAATTCTTAAAATCTTCATACCAACTCCAAGACGCTTTCTATTTCTTGCAAGTGAAATGGTTTTTTAAAAGAAGGAACCTTGACATGCTTCATTTTAGGGTTTCTTTTTTAAGTAATGGCTTGTTCCACCATCTCATACTTCATACTACTTACCTTTCCCAGTAGGTGTTATTCTGAAAAAAGTTTGAATCGTAATGTAACCGATAGCTTTCCTACAATCACCAAAAAGAAAAGCTAATTTAATGTTTGCTTATTTCAGTTACAGAAATGAATGGCAAATAAAAAGTATTTTCTATTTACTCAATTTATTTCATATTTATGTATTACTTCTTTTAGACTCACAGATCTAGGCCCAATAATTAGTAGGCTCCTGCTGCCCAAATGCAAAAAATAAAGGGGGGGGGGGGTGATTATTGGGGGATGGGGAAGTTGTTCAATAAATTCATTTCTGTTACAAGCATCTTTTATACACATTACTAAAGAGAACAGAGTAAGAAATGCAAATAATGGTTCTTTATTTTATTATGACAGTTAATTAATAGCAACCTGTTTTAATGAATAAAGTCACTCAGAGTCCTTCAGCACTTCCTAAGTAGAGGCCAGAATCCGTAGGGATTCTTTTCCCCCCAATTGTATAGCTCCTAGACTCCAAGCACCATATAGGCCCCTGTATAGAAATGCTCACTAATGAAGAGGGAGGGCCAGAAGCTTGTCTGCATTCAAAGATCACTGGTGAGTCATTCAGCAAGAAAAGGCCCCTTACCAGGAATAGTCACAGTTCCGTGGCATTGTACTAGCAAAAGGGTCTGATCAAAGGTCTCCTGTGGCGCTTGCATGGTTCCCTTTCATACTACGACCATAATTAAAACCACTAATTCTCTTTTAAAATGCTGCAGGATGCCATGTAGGCATCTGTCTGGAGTGTCCTTTGTGATGTCATAAGCTGTTAAGGACCGGTGCCGAGGGCTTTTGAGCGAAATGCCAGTCATGAAGGTGCTTCAAGACAAGGGTGCCTCTAAAAGCTTGACAGGGCCTTGACTGCACAATTCGAGCTGAATTTGCCCCTTGTCAGCTGCCAGTAAATAAATCTCAAAGGGGGAAAAGCTGAAGTTTCATTACCTGATCCATGGGGCTTTGTTGGTTTTGGCATCACACAGGGGAAGCTCTTACCCCGCCATTCTCTGGATTTGAAGATGTCCATTGGAGCCTGCAGTGCCTGGACAGGGTTCAGAGCGGAACCTTTTGAAGAGTGTCAATAGTTGTAACAGTTCAGCTGTTAGGAAGACAAATAAATGGAGGAGCTCATTAATCCGCTTTTGGCTCTCAGTGCCTTTTGCCCTTTTATCACAGCCTTATTAGGCTCCTACTCATCTTGAACCAGAAAAAAATGAATTGAAGTTGTTGAGGACTAATTGGCAAAGACTTTTAATCATGGGCCAAGAACTTTCACTGACTTGAAAGTAACTTCTCCACAGGGAAGAGCTAGAAACCTGGTTTACCTTAAAACCAAAATGTGTTGGAGTTCAGTGTGGTGTAAAATTTAAGAAAGCGTTGATAAATTGTCTTAAGTGTATCCATTTGAAAGAAATTATGCAAGATTATGATTTTTTTGTACTTGTCTGGGAAAAATAATAAAATACAAAGATTCCTTTAAAAATGCATTGTCTTTATTGGTTCAGAAAAGATGACATGTATATGTGAACTGATGTTTGAACATCTCTACCCACTAGTGTGAATGGTTATCTGCATGCCTGTATGTTCATACAGTCATTGAAGAACCTTATTATAAGTAATATTTTTCTATTAGCCTTAACAATGGCATTGGAGGCCCCTTTTTAAGACTGTCTACTTTTAAATTTCATGTCTCTGCCCTCTAAGGAATACATATGTCTGAAGATGCTTCGTGGGTTGATCGTTGATAAAAACATATAGATTATCTGGTACTTGTGCCATGGTGGCTTTTGGCCACTCTGTCTTTGAGAAAGCAGTAGTATATGACCCAGGGTAGATGGATCATGGTTATTGAAATTTCTACAAAAAAAAATGGAGATGAGGTTTAGAGAAGGATGTTGGGCTTCAGTCCCAGACCAACGGTTTGAGGAATGCTTTCCCCTCTACAAGCTTCTTTCTCTTTCTTTCCTTCCCTTTCATTTTCCTTTCCTTTCCTTTCATTTTTCCTTTCCTTACATTTCCTTTCCTTCCTCGCTTTCTCTTTCTCCCTCTCCCCCTTTCTCTCTTTTCCTTTTTCTCTTCATTTCTCTTTTTCTCTCTTCCTCTCTTTCCATCTCTCTTCTTCTCCCCCCTTTCTCTCTCTCTCTTTCTTCTCTTACTTTCCTGGGCTAGTGGACAACACCATAAAATTGAATAGAAGGGGTGTCCTTCAGTCTAACCCCCTGGCACTGAAGAGGATGTGAAGATGACTTCTCATGCAGGATTTGGCCAGCGTCCCAGGGGTGCCGTAGCTTGGCCGGATGACAGGAACCCCACAAGGCCAACTTCTGCCTGGACTTTGGCCTGAGGAGCAAGTGGGAGCCAGCGAAACTGTCAGCCTCTCCACATGTTGCAGTGCCCTGCTGCCCCGGCATGGAGGCTGGCATACACCAAAGGCAAGTGGAAAAGGGCCGTATGGGCTTGGTGTTATCTGACAAACCACCAAGTGTGTTGGGCTCCCTGTCCCCTCCGCACCCTCTGATGGGAGCGTGCGCATCTATGGTGCTCATTCTCCTCTTCTCCATTTTTTACAAGGACCCATTTGTTTTTCAGTGCCTTTGTTCCGCTTCTCAAAGTGTAGCCAAAATAGAAGGAAATCAGTTACAGGTTTGCTATTTTGAAAATTTACTACAGAAATCATGAAGTGTTATTTCTGCCATTACTGCTTTCTGGTACTGCAGCCGTGTTTATCTTTTATGCTATTTAATTAAAGCTCATTTAGTAAGGGTTATTGTCATAATATTCTGCTGTTAAAATACTCATAACCTAAAGTCATCAGATTAGGGTGAAGGGTAGATATTTTTTGTAAAAAAATTGTTAGAAGTTAAACATCATAAGCCAATAATCATAGTTCCTATCAATATCCTTTATAACTTAAAAATGCTAATGCTCTTAATAGAAAAACAATTTAATTCCAAAGATTGAAATAATGAATCCTGTTAGAGAAAATCCTTTTGTTCATTTTGCTTCTCTTATGTTTGGTAAATGGACTATCCATAAAGTTTTGTTCTTCTAAAAGAACAAATTAAGTTCTTCTAACTGGTTCCTTCCAAGTGTTTTGATTAGGTAAAGAAAACAATTCTAGTCCAGGAAGAAATTCACACTACTTTATTTTCCCTTGACTTTTTGTTATAGATGCAAAATCATTCTAAGGCTTTTACTCACAAACAAATAAATGATGTTTCCAGGGATTCTGGAAACATCTAAAGGCCAAGATCTTGGCACAGCATTACAGAGCAAACAAGGCGCTAAAGCTTAGATGTGATCACACTCGATGAAGTCGTCATTGTCAGCACCCTCAGAAGGTCTGTTTGATTTGGATCAGCATGGATGATATTTCTTAAAGCCCTAGAAATAGTACAGTGTGCTTATGTGGATATAGGAAAGTAAACTAGAAGGAATATATCTTGAAAAGTTCCTCCTTTTTTCAGGAAAAATAAAGATCTGATAGCTTTCAACAATCAAATGCATGTCTGATGGAAACTGTATGTACTAGAAAGACTAGTTCATGCTATATTTAAAAGAGGAGAGAGAAAAAATTACATAATTGTCATAGTGCTTTTAAAAGTTAACGTTCAAAATCAAGTTCTTTTTTGTTATTGTAGCAAGAGCTACGGGGGGGGGGGGGGGGGGGGGGGAGGAGATCTGAGGAGATAGTTGTTTTAATGGAAAGGACAAGCTGACATTCCAAAACTAAAAATGTGAAGCCAGCAATGCTTACCCTCAAAGTAGGGCTCTCTTGCTGTTTTCTTCAGATCTAAAATGTAAGAGAAGATTACTTTTCAGCAATGTAGATAATATATGATACTTAATTTTTTAAAGTTGCTATGGTTGTGACAATTTCAAGATAAACGGTGAAGATCACAAAGCCAAGTAATTGGGCCATTTTCTGCCAGTGATCCTGTTGCATAGAGCAATGGGGAGTTGTATGTAGTTGGCTTTAGATGAAGATAATATTCAACTGTAATAATAGACAAATAGAATGACAGAAGGGGTGAGTTTCAAGATGCATTGTACTCATAAATTGACATGCTGAACTGAAACCGCTTTCTATAACTAGAGATAATGTTTTTAAAAAGACAAATAAAAATGAGCTGATTGCAAGATTTAACCCTCTCCTAAACTTGATTTATTAGAACTTGTGATGTGTCTGCTAAAAGTGGTATTAGAGGAAGAAAAGTACAATAGATAGAAATCAGACATAAAATTTATATTAGTAAAATCATTATTGTAATAAACTAAATATTATAGACTATGTTCTGTTTTTAAAAGAATTATACCATAGTCATCTTCTATTTAGAAATATTATCTAGGGGGGGTTACTTTGTAATGTAAGATTTTAAAGACAATAAATGTTCCCTTAGATGATTGAATCATTAGAAATATCCTTAATATCTGTGGTTGTGGTTCATATGCGGAAGAATGTGCCAAAAAGGGAACAATACTTGGGACTGTTTCTCATCCTTGAATAAATCAGTCAGCTACTACCTCAACACTGAGTGACACAAAAGACTAATTTCCTATGATACCTGATATGCCAAGACTTGAATCCAGAAACTGATAGTGGGCACATTAAGGATCTTGAGGAAAGGGAGAAAGAAAGAAAGAAACAAAGGAAAAGAAAGGAAGGAAGGAGGGAAGGAGGAAAGGAAGGAAGAGAAAAAAAGGAAAAGAAAGAAAGGGAAAGAAAGACAAAAGAAAGGACTAGAATCTTCTTAGTTTCTTCCCTTAAAATAGATTTTTGAAAGTAGAAGGAAAACATTACATAATTGTAGAAATAACAATGCTTTTAAAAGTTAACATTTAAAAGCAAGGTTTTTTATTATTATTGTAGCAAAGCTACAGAAATTTAGGAGTTGGTTATAAGTGAAAGATTATCTGTTCATCAAAAATTCAGAGCCAGACGCCAGCAGTGGTTCACACCTGTAATCCTAGCTACTCAGTAGGCTAAGATCCAAGGATCAAGGTTCAAAGCCAGCCTGGGCAGGAAAGTCCACGAGACTATTATCTCCAATTAGCCACTAGAAAACTGGAAATTGTGTTATGGTTCAAAGTGGTAGAGTACTAGCCTTGAGCAAAAGGAGCTCAGGGACA